GCTCTGTCCCCAGGACTTAAAAGCATACTCATCCAGGACCCCCTTGGATACCCAAATCCTGACTCTTTAAGTCCGGTGTATAAAATGGACAGTGTTTGCATATAACCCATGCACATCCTCTGTGTCCTTCAAGTCACCTCTAGATTCCTTGTAACCCCTAAGACAATGTAAAAGGTCTAACATGGTGATTAGGCAGTATTGGTTAGGGAATGATAAGAAAAAAAAATCTGCCAGCGCTGATACGTCACATTTGTAATCACAGCTACTCCGGAGACAGAGATCAGGAGGATTGAGCTTCAAAGCCAACCTGGTGAATAATTCTCAAGATCCTGTCTTGAAAATACCCATCGTGAACCAGGACTGGCAGAGTGACTCAAGTGGTAGAGCGCCTGCCTAGCAAGGGTGAAGCCCTGAGTTCAAATCCTAGTACCACAAAAAAAGGAGAGAAGAAAGGAAAATCTGTACATGTTCAGAACAAGATGCAATTTTTTTCCCCAAAGGCTTCCAGTCAATGGTTGACTGAGTCCTCAGATGAGCTCACAGAGCTGAAGGGCTGGCTATAGATGGATAGTGAGGGTTGGCAAGTAGGTTGTGAATAAATGAATGAATGAATGAATGAAGAGTAAAGGAAGGGCAGCTTCCTCTGATCACCAAAAGTTCTCCATGCTAGTTGCTAGTATGAGATAGATGGGAAGAAGAGGAGGGGGTTGCTGCCCTTGGCTGTGGCATTGGGCATTGAAGTATGTACTCTGTGTACTGAGGTGAGCCACTGGTCAGCTGCAGAGTGGGAGGCCTGCCTGCCTGTCCCTGGCTCCTGCCTGGCATTTGGTCCCTGGCATTTGGTGTGGGGTGTGTTAGTCCAGTCTATCCCCTGTGGAGGGACCATTGAGCTGGTCAATGGAGGAGCACCTGCCAGAGAGGATGGTCCAAGCCAGGCTTGTCCTGGGTGCTCCCCTCAGGGGCTGAGCTGAGGGTGTGATTGGTGTAAACCCCACCAGAAAGGACTTGTGGCTCCTGCCTTAGGGGAAGGTTTTGGGGTCAGTCAGTAGGCTGAGTGGGAAGAAACCAGCTCTCCAGAGACTCAGGAGAGCCAGGACAGTGGGCCATGGCTTCCGGGGTAGCTCTGGGGAGTGGCTGCCTGTTCTTGTATGGCAGCCTATTTTAGCCACTTCCCCAGAGCTGAGTCATGGTGCTCAGCGACACTCCTCCCAAGGCTGCCGCTCCTGGGCCTGTCCCCTTCTGAGTGGACACTCACGGCCTCCTGAGCTGCTGCTGGCCCCAGGACGCCCTGGCCTGTGACTGAAACAAATAACCCATTACCTCCTTGCTCTTAAACCACCCTGTCTATGTCCTCACTCCCACATTATTGTCTGTAAGAGGCTTAGAGTGACTGTCACTCGTGCCAGTGAAACCAAGGACTTAGAACAACCTGTTGAGTGAGTTCTCGCTGGCCCCAGGCTCGCCTCCCACCACCCCAAATGCAGGGAGCTGCGGCCCTCCTCACGGGGTGGTGGGATGGGTGGAGCACTCCATCAAGGCCCTGACTCCAGAATTCTCTCCTGCTGGATATTAAAGATGATTTAGCACAAGCCACAGAGCCTGCTACCCATGTCCCCAGGAGCCAGAGCACAGGAAGCACACGGTGTTGGGAAGACCGCCACTGTCTTTCTGAGGAGTGGGACAGAGCAGGATCCCGAGGGCCAAGGCTGACCTAGGATGGGTATATGTGAATGTGGCAGTGCCACACGTTTTCACTGTGTGTCCTCACTGTCCCTCCTGTAGTCCTACCCACAAGGCAGTGCTGGAGAAGAGCAGCTGGTGGTGTGGTGAGGAGTCCACCTGACCTGTAGCTGTGGTGGCCTGAACTTTGGGTCCCGCTGGGTAGTCACAGAGGCCTGCATATCTCTGGTGAGCCCTGGCAGCTGGGCCTGTGGTTTCCCCTCCTTCCCTCTCATGAGCACCTCAGATGGGACCGCAGAGCTTGCTCGGTTTCCCAGGTCTGGATGTCCCTGTCCTTACAGTAAGCCCTTACCAACACTCGTCACTGTGTTCCCACCCAGTCCTCTTCTCAGCCCCCTCCTGCCTCTCTGTTTTTTGTTTTGTGTTTGTTTCTCTGGTACTGAGGCTTGATCTCGGGGCCTTGCACTTACTAGGCAAGTGCTCTGGTACTTGGACCATACCCCAGCTGTTTTGCTTTTGCTTTTGATAGGGTCTTTCGCTTTTTTTTTTTTTTTTTTTGGTAGGACTGGGGTTTGAACTCAGGGCTTTACCCTTACAAAGCAGGAGCTCTACCATTTGAGCCATGCCTCTAGTCCATTTTGCTCTCAGTATTGTTTTTGCAAAAAGTGTCTCTGAAACTATTTGCCTGGGCTGGCCTCAAAGCTCAGTCCTCCTGATCTCAGCCTCCCAAGTAGCTGGGATTATAGACATAGCCATTAGCTGGAGGGTCTCACATTTTTTTCCCAGGGGCCAGCCTCAGACCTTGATCTCTTCCTACCTATACCTCCCCTGTAGCTAGGATGACAGGCACTGTGTCACCACACCCAGCTTATTGATTGAGATGGAGTCTTGCTAATTTCTTTTGCCCAGGCTGGCCTCAAACTGCCATCCTCCTGATCTCTGCCTCCAGAGTAGCTGGGATTACAGGCATGAGCAACACGCCTGGCCTGGTGCTTTATTTTTGTGTAGGCCAAAATCTGTCCTTTCATTTGTTTTGTAAGTAAAAGTGGTTTGGTTTTGTTTTTCACACTTACTGGTTTATTATGAAGGGTACACAACCTGGGAAGAGGCAAATGGAAGAGATGCATGGGACAAGATTTTGGGGGCCTGGCATATACCACCTACACGGCACCTTGGTATGTCGCCAACCCCACAGCTCTCTGTGAATACAATTTTATTTGGACACAGCCTTGCCCGTTTGTTTCCATATTGTCTGTGGCTGCTTCTTGCTACAGTGGAAGTTCAGAGGCTATGGCAAAAGTCTGCATCAGCCCCAAAGGGGAAAATATTTGCTCTGTGACCCTTTGCAGAAAGTGTTTATCAGGGTGTTCACTGTCTGATTCGTTTGGGGGTAGAGGTGAAGACAAGGGTGGGGGTGGGGCCCAAGGGGCACTCAGGCTTCAGTTAGGGGAAGTTAGCTTTCCTGAGGGTCTGGTGGGAAGGGGGAGAGTTAACCCATCTTAAAGGGCCAGACCCAGGGCCTCCCTGAAGCACGCCCAGGCCACCTGTGTGGCAGGTTCACCACCGCCTAGGTCCTGCTGCTATCCTCGGGAACTTGGTGTTTGTTGGAGGATGAGCAGTGTGACTGCCTGGGCCTGATGAGGGGTACTTGCTAGTGGCGAGCCATCAGACTGGGGGTGGCTGTTTGGCATGGAATAAGAGAGCATGGGAGGAGGGGGGGGAGGGGGGGCACAGAGAGGTCAGGCTGGAGCCCAGGGGCTGAAATGAAGGCAGAAGCGGGGAGGGGTTAATCTCTCAGCTGGTGTTGAAGACCAGCTATATGGTACATAGCACACCGCTGGGCAGGATTGGTGACACAGACCTGTCAGAGCCCTCTGGAAGCTCAAAGCCCAGTGTGAAGGTTTCAGTCCAGCCAGCGGGGATAGAACAATGTAACAGGTGCCTGCCTGGAGAAGGGACATCCAAACTGCCATACCAGGTAGGTGGGGAGGGAGCGAAGAGGTGAGCGAGGACGGCTTCAGGAGAGCACTTGTTCCACCTGGGCCCTGAGGGTGTGTCGGGGGCACAGGTGGTGATGTGTTGTGCGGGGGTTGCAGCAGGGCGGTTCTGATAGGTACAGGAGCTCAGGTTGGATCAGAACCAACCAAGAAAGGACAATGTGAGTGTGAGTGATGGTGAGGAGGAGGGACGTCAGGACGATGGTCACTGGATCCAGGGGTGCAGCACTGTGGGTCGGTTTTAGCGGAGAAGTAAAGAACAGGAAAGGAGGAAAAGAGGCAGGAGGACCTGCTAGGCAGATAGCTGGGGTGTGGTGGCCTAGCTTGGGACAGTGCCGGGGAGGGGTGGCAGCCTGGGCCCACCCCCACTGTGTGAACTTTGCAGTGGATCGGGTGGGTCTGAAATGAGGGTGGACCTTGCCAGGCACCTGGGGACCCAGCACCCCATCTCTCCATACCTCCACCTGTCTGGGGAAAAAGGGACTGGTTTGGCCTCAACACTGAACTTCACCTTGGAAATGTGTGAGTGTCACCCCCAGCTCCCCTAGGCTGTCCCCTCTGCTGTCCTTTGGATTTCTGATCGGTTTGCCCAGGGGTCTGCAGATCTTGACTGGGGGAGTTGGTATTTAGGGTCTAGCTCCTGCCACCCTCTGCCCCTCATGATTAAAGAAACTGCGAGGGAGTTTCCGAGTCTCGATCACCCTGAGAGGCAGACCGGTGGAGATGTCACAGGCAGGATAAACATTTATGGGACACCCAGCGAAGGGCTGGAAGGCCAGGGAGCTGGTTCTGTGGGTCCTAGCAGCTCCACCCCAATTCTGATTCAGAAAGAGTCGGGCCGCCCACGTGCCTGGAGAGACTGGGCAGTGTCTCTGTCTCCTGAAGCCTGTCCTGCGCATTTTCTTCTTCGTGAAGGCTGTGCTCAGGCCGAGGTGTCCGTCAACTCCACGGGGACTGAGGTTAGACAACAGGAAGAACTTAGAGTGTGTCTTCAGACCGGCTGCCTGAAACGGCTTGAGCGCCTTGCGTGTGGTGTTTGCCTTAGCAGCAAGCATCTTCGGAAGAAAGACGATTTCTGTCTCAGGTTTCAGGGACAGTGTGTCTCTGGTATTGAACTCTAGCCAGATTTGCAAACTCACCCCTCTACCCCGGGATCCTGGGGAATGAAGAAATGAGCAGTGTTAGGAAATGGATCACTGGCCCATTTCCCGTTAATTTCTTTTTGGTAGGAGAGCTGGCCTTAAAGAACAGCCCTGGGTGGATGGGCTCAGTGCTGCCTGACCAGCCTGTATTAACCCTTTGCCTTCTCTCCTCTGCTTGTAGGCCTATGAACCTCCCAGTTAGCTCGCTCACGCTCACCCTCTCCACTCTCCACTCTCCACTCTCCACTCGCTGGATTTGACCTTGAGATCTGACCCCACACCTGTCTGCTACTGAGGGCAAGTCCGCCTCCCCTCCCAGCCGGCAAGATGCCCATCCTCAAGCAGCTGGTGTCCAGCTCGGTGCACTCCAAGCGCCGCTCCCGTGTGGACCTCACAGCTGAGATGATCAGTGCCCCGCTGGGTGACTTCCGTCACACTATGCACGTGGGCCGGGCTGGGGATGCTTTTGGGGACACCTCCTTCCTCAACAGCAAGGCAGGTGAGCCGGACAGAGAGTCCCTGGATGAACAGGCTTCCTCCTCATCTTCCAAACGCAGCCTCCTGTCTCGGAAGTTCCGGGGTAGCAAGCGGTCACAGTCTGTGACCCGGGGGGACCGGGAGCAGAGAGACATGCTGGGCTCCCTGCGGGACTCAGCACTCTTTGTCAAGAACGCCATGTCCCTGCCCCAGCTCAATGAGAAGGAGACCGCGGAGAAGGGCTCCAGCAAACTGCCCAAGAGCCTGTCTTCCAGCCCTGTGAAGAAGACGGATGCTGGGGACGAAGCAGAAGCAGGGGAGGCAGGTCCCCGTCGAAATGGGGCCACGGGCCCCCACTCTCCCGATCCCCTCCTTGACGAACAGGCCTTTGGGGACCTGACCGATCTGCCCGTTGTGCCCAAGACCAGCTACGGGCTGAAGCATGCGGAGTCCATCATGTCCTTCCACATCGACCTGGGGCCTTCCATGCTGGGTGACGTCCTCAGCGTCATGGACAAGGATGAGTGGGACCCCGAGGAAGACGGTGGTGGTTACCGGGACGAAGAAGGCCCCAGCAGCGGGTCCCAGGCTCCCTCTTCATTGGAGGCGGCCCCTGCTCTAGGGAGACCAGAAGGCAAAGCCAGCCAAGAGCTGCCCTCATTGGCCCCCCATGCTCTGGAGGACGAGGGGTGGGCTGCAGCAGCCCCCAGCCCCAGCTCAGCCCGCAGTGTGGGCAGCCACACCACACGGGACAGCAGCTCCCTGTCCAGCTGCACCTCGGGCGTCCTGGAGGAGCGCAGCCCAGCCTTCCGGGGCCTGGACAGGGCCCGGGCTGCTCCCCCCAGGCAACCTGACAAGGAATTCTCCTTCATGGACGAGGAGGAAGAGGATGAGATCCGTGTGTGAGGCCAGCAGAAAGTCGCTGCCAGAAGCTCGTGCAGCATCTTTTCTCTACCCCCGACCCCAGTGCGACCCTTGACCTTACCGTTCAGGGGCAGCCAAACGCCCACATCTGCCATAGACCCTGGACCTCGCCAATAAGGGGCACCGGCTGAGCCCAAGAGCCCTTGGAAGGCTTGGGGAGGTGGCCTTAGTGCCCACTGGTTGCCTGACTTTGTGGAGCACCCTTTTGCTCCGGCCTGGCCTCAAATGGATTCCAGATGTCAATCTGAGTTCCTGCTTCGTGCAGCAATCGCAGGACAGCCAGAAGCAGCCCCTGCACGGACACTTGGCTCCTTTTTTCTCCCAGCCTCTGTGGTGCCCCACCAGGAAGATGTGGGCAACAGGAGGCCAGGGTGACCACAGGGCTCAGCCCCTCTCTCCCTGACCTTTGGCTCCTCACCGGAAGCCTGGTGCCTCTGGGGGTTCATCTGGATCAGGGGGCAGTCATGACCTGTACACTAAACTTAGCCCTGTCCAGGGGCCAGGACAGGATGGAGGATGGAAGGTGTCTTGGATTTTCATCCGAGTAGAGTGGTTAATCCACTAGAAGGAGAATGGAAATCTTTATACCAAGTCTGCTTGGAAATGCGTAGTAACTGTTAGCGAACTCAAGTCTTGGGGGTGTCCTGAACTGTGCGGGATGGGTATCCACGGTTTTGGGCCCCCACCCTCTCATAGCTATCAACAGCTGAAGGACGCCTGTGTAGAAAAATTCTGGACAATGATTGTTAAAAATGATAGATCATTCCTAGGGAGCACGGGGAGCTGTCTTTTTAACTGGATACTTCTCTCCCCGCCCCCCACCCTGTGAAAGACCTTCCCTTTCCTTTCTCAGCCACTCCCCACTGCTGGGCCCAGGGCCCCAGGGGAGGGTTGCCAGATTTAGCAAAATCTAACAAACAGCAAAAACAACAACAAAAAACCCCAGAAGACTGAGTTAAATATGAATTTCAGGTTAACAAAAGACTTTTGTTTGTTTGTTTGAGACAGGGTCTCCCTCCTTAACCCATAGTAGGTCTAGAACTCCAGATCCCTCTGCCTCAGTCCTCCCTAGTGTGGGATTACAGGCATGCACCACTACACCCACTCTGTTGGCTTATTATGTGGAACATTCTCATGCTAAAAAGTTGTTTGTTGTTTTTCTGAAATTCAAGTTTTGCTCAGCTCCTGAAATTCTATCCAGAGCACTGAGTAAGAACTGGCATATGAGCCCCAGGGGTGACAGCTGATTATTTTTCTGTCCTGGGAACTGGCTGACCCATCTCCTGGTCTAGTGTAGCCTGAGAGAGGCTGGGGAGAAGGAACGAAGTACAACACAGGGCCAGCCAGCTGATGGAGGTGGCCTGGCTGGCTCTGCCTCCCTCATCCTGCCCGGACCTATGCTGACCCTAACTGAGACACTAACCTGGTTTTTGACTAGGCGCCCAGGTGCTTCTGTGACTTGACTGGTAGCTAGCTCCCGGCCCTTGAAACCTACCCAGGTCAGTCCCAGGCTCTAAGCTTTGTATTTTTTCCACGATATTGATAAAGCAACAAGGAAACATTAAAAAGCCCGCTAGCACACCTGATACCTGCCTTTGCTTTTTGGGGTAACTCATTTCAGAATGAGGGGATGGTCAGAGAGGGGCTGCTGGGGCTGCCTATGGTCTTGGGGCTAAGAGCTTCTCTCCTCCCCCTCCTACACGGCCCTCAAGCCTCTTGGGTGGACGAGACCTCTGCCAGGGCAGGCCCTTGAGGCTCTGGGACTCTGGTGGCCCCACTGCTACTGATTGGTTGGGGGCTCTTGGTCCCGGAGCCGCATTGAGCCTCATTTTCCCCCTCTGGAAGGTGGGAGCCCTGTCGATCTTGCAGAGTTGGAGCACAGGCACAGTGACATGTGGTTTGCATGACTCTGCACTCAGGGGTCTCTGCTGCAGGGGGTGAGGGGGCATGAGGGGAAGGGGTGGTGTAGAAGGAAGGGGTTTCCTTGCCCTCTTCCTTTTCTCTCCATTTACCATTTGACCTGAAGAACTGACTTACAGGCGGTATGTTCTCTGCTCAACCTGGCTAGGCAGTGAGGTGGAATCTCTGCATCTCGTTTCCTGGATGAAAAAATGAGCTGAGAAGGCCAAGGCTGCCTTCTCCAAAAATTATACAATTACTCAGAGTTGGAGTCAGATCATCCTTAATTCAAAACCTCTCTTCTCCAGAGTCAGACACAGGTGGCTCGCTCCTGTAATCCTAGCTACTTGGCAGGCAAAGATCAGGAGGATCGCAGTCACCCTGTCTTGAAAAAACCCAACCCAAAACAGGGCTGCTGGAATGGCTCAAGAAGTAGAGCGCCAATGTGAGGCCCTGAGTTCAAACGCCAGTACGACCTGTTTATCACCACTCCTGTCGGGAAACAAGGTCAAGGTGCGTCTGCCCTGGGTGTGGGGACAAGCTAACCTCTCTACCTGCCTCTACCCAGCTCCTGTCTCATCACCTTCTCTTCTCCACACCCACATTTTCTCCGCCATGGGAGGCTGTAAGAAGGGAATGGCACCGGGCCAGTTCTCACTAGCCAAGGCCCCTCTTGTTCTCTGGGAATGCAAGGGAATCCCAGTTTGGCTGAGTTCTGGTGGAGCTCTGCCCTTCTTCCCTGAGCATCTACAGAGAAACTCGGACTCCCCACTCATCTTGTCCCTGGGAAGCAATTATAGGCATAATTAAAATGTCACCCAGGTCCTTATGTCCCTAGACAGGCTCATTAGAGCTAATGAGGGATGTTTAAAGAGGAGTTATGAGCAGGGCGGGACAGTGCTCAGGGGGCAATTGGGGAGACGAAGAAACTGTTAGGGTGAGGCCCAGGTGATACAGTGAGACCCCCCACATGGAGCAGGCCCTCCCAGACATGGTGTAGACCTCCCACAAGGGCAAAGCCACTCCACTCACACCCACACCCAGGATTCTTGAGGGTCTAGGGAAGCAACCAGGCCAGCCTCAACATCTTTCATTGTTTTTTTGTTTGTTTTGCAGTACTGGGGTTTGAACTCAGGGAATACACCTTGAGCCACCCCACTATTACCTTTTTGTGATGTTTTTTTCCGAGATAGGGTCTCGTGAACTATTTGCCAGGGGCTGGCTTTGAACCTTGATCCTCCTGATGTGTGCCTCCTGAGTAGCTAGGATTACAAGCTTGAGTCACCAGCACCCAATTCCAGCATCTGTTTTGATCATGGCAGGAAAGCTTACCCCACCAAGGTCTGCAGGGAGACCTGGCTTGCTTTAAGGAGCTTATCTCCTGCTGGGGCTCCATGGACCCAGGAGACAGGAACAGGAGATGCAGGCAGAAGGGGCCTAGCCACAGGACTCCACTCTTGGTTCTGCCCAGATCTGCTGGGGGCTTTGGCCCTGATCTGGGCAGCTTCAGTCTCCTCAACTTCAAAATTACATGCTAGTTCATTCAGTTGGTTTCAAAGCTGTGTCAGAAGCTTTGTTTGCAATGAAGTCATAGTTGAGCCTGTGTATAGACTGAGTCAGTATTCCTGGGTGCCTTGGGATTGGAGGGGTCCTTCCTCTGAGGTTCACCTGAGAAACCTAGGGTTTCCACAGAGCAAGTCTCATCTGGGGATAGGATCTTGCTGTTAGTCCAAGCTGGCCTGGAACTCAAGATCCTCCTGCTTCTGCTTCTGTCTTCTGAGTGCTGGGATTACAGGTGTGTATTACCATGCCCAGCTCAAGTCTCATCTGAAAAATGTTCTGTAGGAGAGCTGGGGCATGGCCCAAGCAGTAGAGTGTCTGCCTAGCAAGTGTGAAGTCCTGAATTCAAACCCTGGCATTGTTTTAGCAGTGCTGGGATTTGAACTCAGGACCTACACCTTGAGCCGCTCCACCAGCCCTATTTTTGTGATGGTTTTTCGATACGGGGTCTTGAGAACTATTTGCCTGGGCTGGCTTTGAACCTGGGTGGGCTGTGGTTGCCCCATTTGCCTGTAGAGCCTGTAGCCTTAGGCCTGTGCCCCTGCTGGTATCCAGGCTGGTCCTGCATGGTGTTCACCTTTGACACCATCATCACACACACACCTAAGCCACCCTCTCTTCTCTCTGCCAAGGCTGCACCCCACTCCCAGGAACAAGCGGACAAGAGGAATAGCGGGAGGTGAGTTACTGGAAGGCAGCCAGGGTTCTTAGGATCTTTAAAGCTTAGGATCTTGTTCCTGCCCCGTCCCCAGACCAAGGCTGAGAGAAGGGACTGAGTGGAACAGAGCAGAGATGGAGCAAATCTTTGGGCCAACTTTGGCTCTGGCCTGGCAGGTAAGGGACAGGTTGAGGAACGGGCCTTTTGTGACAGCAGCTGCTGGATGGAGCTGGGAGGGTTATAGCCTTGGGGGTGGCTGGAAGATGCCAGAAGCCAGGGAGAGAGAGAGGGGCTGGCCTTCCCCATGCCTGGCTCACCAGGACCCTCACACGACAGCTTCCCACAGAGTCCCACCCTCTTCATACCTAGGCAAGTGACACCCTCACCCCCCAACATGCCCCTCACCTGCAGTGCTAACTTTGTACACAATTCATCACTGGTCCCGAGGCCCTGATTTAGGATGCAGGAATGGAAAATTAGGAATAAAAGCAGACCGATCATTTATCCCATCCCCTCTGCGGGCTCCTCTAGGCCCCTGTGGCTTCAGGCCAGCACCAGATGGGAGACTGAAAAGAACATTTTGGGGGCAGGGGAGGTGTTTGCCTGCAGATGGATGGTTGGCCTCTGAAACCTGTTGCCATAACCCACTGAACTGCTGTTCTCCCAGAGGGAGAATCCCAGGAAGGGACAGGAGGAGACTAGGAATCCAGCCCTAAAGTGACACTTGGCATGTTTAAAAAAAATACCTGCCAAGGCCGAAGGGTTCTGCTGAATTTTGTTTTCTTTTTATGTCCCCTTTGTTCCAAAAAGGTTTGGAGGCAGCTTACAAAAATACATAAAATACAATGGGGTAAAAAATAGGTCAGAGAGAAAACAGTGCTAGAACAAACAGTAGGATGAACCGAGAGGACTTACGTAGAAATGCTCTGTAGGTGGGCCTCCATGGCTCTCAAATGTGGGCTGCACACTGGACTCTGAGCTCCCTGTCAGTCAAAGCAAAGAGAGAAATCTACCTATTTCAAGACTCAGAAAGTTGAAACCTGCAAGGTTAAGATGAACCCGGGAGCAGCTCAGCTCCTTCTAAAAAAAATTCTTGCGGGATCTGTAAAGGGCCAAGAGGTGGTGTCCCAGGCAACACACTCAACAACAGTCTGGTAATAGATTGCAATAGTCTGAATGTCTGAGTACCCCCAAATTCGTATGTGGAAATCCTAACCCTGCCCCCCCCCCCCCCCCCCCCCCCCCGCCCCAGGTGATAGTATTAGGAGGTGGGGCTTTGGGGAGGTCATGAGGTCATGAGGGTGGAGCCCTTAGGAAGGGAAATAGGGCCCTTAGGAAAGAGGACCTCTGGGAGTAGTAAATGAAGTAAACCAGGCACATTTGTGGGTAAAAGACAAAATACCGAATGCTCTGACTCACGTGGAAGTTTTCAAAGTTGACCTCATAGTAGAGAGCAGAATAGTGCTGGAGGGTGTGGGGGGAGTACGGGGCAGAGGAGATTGGACAAAGACCAAAATACTGTGAGAGTTACAGCACAGGAGGGTGAGGGTGGCTGTCATCCACAGACTACAATGCAATGTTCTTTTTTTGGAGATAATACTCTTTGAACTCAGGGCCTCATGCTTGCCAGGCAGGCACTCTACTGCTTGAGCCACTCTGCCAGTCCAATTTCTTGTTTTGTGACACAGGATCTCGTTATGTAACTCAGGCTGGCCTTGAACTTGCGATCCTCCTGCCTCAGCCTCCCAATGGCTGGGATTACAGGTGTAGCCACCACTGCACCCAGCTTTTTATTTATTTTATAAAGAATTAGAAGAGGGTTCCAGACACAAAGAAATAGTAGATATTTAAGGAGAAGAAAATACTAATTACTTTCATCTGCCCATTGCATGTGTACATGTACCGGATTACCACATAAATATGTACAATTATGTGAAGTTTTATAATGTAAGTAAGTAAATACACTGTTTAAAGTGGGGGCATGGGGTAGGAGTGTGGCCCAGTGGTAGAATTCTTGCCTAGTATGCAGGGGGCCTTGTGTTTTGATCCCCAGCATGTGTACACACACACACACACACACACACACACAAGATGGAAGCTGAACCAGTATTTTTCTGGATTGGAAATCTGCTGGCTCCCTGACCTTGACCTCCCCAGACACTGTTGTCCAGCAGTCCCAGGATATGGTGTGATAGCAGCAGAGCCAACGAAGGCGTAGCTGCAGTCACAAAGGCGCTCAGGAGAGGTCAAGGGCTCCATGTCAAGACAGATCAGCAAAGCCAAGTCTGAGGAGGACCAGACCTTGGTGATCCATCACTCACGGGGACAGATGAGAGACTTCCAGAGGAGGAGGTCTCTGCAGACATCTGAAGCCAGACACGGTAGTTGGGGACTCAGCCATATATTGTACTAGATTCAGCAGCAACCCTGACCTCCACCCACAAGATGCCGGAGTGTTCTTATAGTCAAAATGTCCCCAAATGTCCATTCTGGGGCTTGAGATCTCTTAGAGAAGGTATGAAACACACACACACACACATCAGTCTAAGAAATACAAAAATGTTTTCAATTCACATGTTTTTTATTCAAAGCATTAAAAGATTGATGGAGGCCCGTGGGAGAAGATGTATGTACTACATTTTGAATTACCTATTTGACTGAGAACACTGGCAGTTCTCTGGTCAGTAGAATGCTTCCATGTGGGCGTACTCAGGAAGATGGCTTGCTTTTCTCCCTTCCTCCCTTTCCTTCCTTTCTCT